CTGAAACCTGTTCAGCATCATAGCAGTTTGCAAGCCTTCACTGACAGGCGGATGGTGGGTATGCATGGGGTGTATTGGCTGGAAATCAGACCTGGGTCTCCTGCGTGGAAGGCAAGAATTCTATCACTGAATACTGCTCTCTCAGCTAATGTAGTCCCTGCCTAATATTGGCCACTGGAACTAAAGAATGATATGAAGAGTGTTCTTTGTTCTCTCTCCTCATTTGCTGAGGAAGCAGGGTATTCACTTCAGGGCACATAGACCATTGGTTTACCAGAAGAAGAAAAAAATTGTGAGGATGAGTAATTAGATTTGTGTTAAATCCCCCTTTTAAGCTAAATGTGGTATATCCTTTAAGTGCATGAAAACACACAGTGGACTTGATAAGGTAACAGGATGATGATGAGAAAACTTTTTTTTTCCCCTCAAAGGCGTTTCATGGGACACCCTTCCAGATGAGCTGCTTTTGGGCATCTTCTCCTGTTTATGTCTCCCTGAACTCCTAAAAGTCTCCGGTGTTTGTAAGAGGTGGTATCGCCTGGCGTAAGTAAATTTCACCCCTTTGGCATATGTGGAAGAGAGAAGGGCTATTTATTTGTCCTTTTTCATCTGGTAAGTCTAAAAACCAAGAAAAATACAGTACTTCAAAGCAAACCTTCATGTTTTTATTGATAATTAGTGCCTTTGTTTCACAGTGGAAGAGAGGAGACTCTTGGAGACAGAAACCTTGCCCCATTTCTCAAAGCCTCCTTTCCCTGAATTGAGTTTAACACATGTGTACTGGGTGTTGACTGTAAGCTGGGCAGTGTGCTCAGAGCGGAGGGAATCATAGGGGTGGTAAAGACTCAGAAGAGTTAACTCGCCCAGGTCACACAGCATAAATGGCAGAGGCTAAGTTCACACTCGGGTCTAACAACAGAGCCCTCGGTTCTTTTCCCACTCTATTCCTGTCCGGCTTACCAGGTGTGAGAACCTGTCTCTCAGTATGTTAAGATGAGGGTGATGGTACCATCAGTACAGAGCAGTCATGAAAATGAAATGTGAATATGCCAGTACATGCCCAGCTCTTGGAAGTGTTCAGCACTTGGTAGCCAATAGCTGTTGGTGCTCTTGTTGGTACCATCTTTCAGGTGTGGAAGGTGAGCTGCACATGGAAAGTCCTGGTGAACTGGGAAGGCACTAGCAGGCCCGATGCCGAAATAGGCCTTGTTTTTCAGTCTGAGATTTTCCCACCCCTCCCCACTTTCCCTTCTTCAGCCCCATCTTATCATCCTGGCCATTCTTTGCCTTGTGTTTAAAGGCTGTTTATCTCACTCCGCATAACTGAGATTCTCTTTGTGAGTCAGCAGGAGTCCTTTCCTTCCAGGGTGCACAGGAAATAAGATACCATAGGACTCTGTTATGGATTGAATTATATCCCCCCAAATTATATGGTGTAAATCCTAACCCCTGTACCTGTGGATAGACCCATTTGGGATAGGGTTTTCTTTGTTATGTTAATGAGGCCATATCAGTGTAAAGGGTGTCTTAAACCTACTCCCTTTTGAGATATAAAAAGAGCAGATTAGGCACAGAGAAGCAAGCACAAATGGAGGGGATCACCAAGGAACCAAGGAACCCCTGGGGTAAAGAAGCTGAGACAAGGATTTTCTCCCAGAGCGGACAGAGCCTTCCCCTAGAGCCAGTGCCCTGTGTTCAGACTTTTAGCCTCCTGAACTGTGAGAAAATAAGTCTGACACCCATCCACTTGTGGTGTTTCTGTTACAGCAGCACTAAGAAACTAAGACACAGACTCCTAGGTACTCACAGGATGGGCCATTTGCTTGGAAGAGTTGCACAGAGGTTTGCACACCTGGAATGTGGGAGCAAGTGGTGTTGGAGTTTCATTTATCCCCACCCAAATAACCCCGTTTTGATTTTCCTTCTCCACCAGCTGTGAATGTGTCCTCTTCGTGCAGAGTCTACTAATCCTTATCTGAGTTGTCATAAAAGTAACAGCTGACATTTGTTAAGCACTTTCTATGTGCCAGGTGCTGCTTTAGCAATTTAGTCCTCCATACAACCTTAAATGACCTTAGTTTGCTACTGCTGCTCTAACACAGTACCACAAACGAGGTTTAAAACAATAGAAATTTATTCTTTCACAGTTCTGGAGGCCAGAAGTCCAAAGTCAAGCTGCCAGCAGGGCCATGGTCCCTCCTTCAGCTTCTGGTTGTTCCAGGTGTTCCTAGGCTTATGGCAACATCACTCCAGTCTCTGCCTCTGTTGTCACTGTGTTCTGTCCTCTTCTTATGAGGATACCCATCTTTGGATTTACTGTTCACCCTAAATTCAGGGTGATCTTGAGATCCTTAACTTAATTATATCTTCAAAGACCTTATTTCTAAATAAGATGACATTTTGAGATTCCATTTAGGCATGAGTTCTTCAACTTACTTCCATGACAGCATCATTCATACCATCTCAGTTTTACAGCTCAGGAAACCACGGGGTTAGGAACAGTAAGAGCAGAGCTGATAAGTGGTAAAGCAGAAATCTAAGGTCTGGGTGACTCCATCCGTAACTCTAACACCATATCTAGTTATGTTCAGCTTAGAGTTCATGTAGCTTCTGCATTCGTCCTCCTGCATGTGCTAAAAAACATTTAAACTTTTCCCTGATTGTTATGGAATGCTAGATAAGCCGTAGTTTACCTCTTTGAAAGAGGAAACTTAAGAAATGAGATTTGAGACAACCAGAGCAGTGATATTCTTGAAACCAAAATGGATTCCAATCTAGGCAAGAGAAAGATACAAAAGATTGCCAGTCTCTTAAGGATTTCTTATCTACAGTTCTGCCTTTTTAATGATAGAGGTCAAATTACACACTGACAGTTTCTTTATGGCAAAATAATTTTCAAGCCCTGGCCAGTGGTTCATTTATTTCAAGCATTATTAAAAAAAAAAAATTCTAGTACTTCTAGGCATTTAAAATGTTTCCTCATGTGCTTGTATTTAATTTTTTTTTAATTGAATTCAGCTGTGGATATTAAAGCTCCTCGATTATGCTATTTGAGGAGCCTTGGTAGCACAGTGTTTAAAGGGCTCAGCTGCTAGCCGAAAGCTCAGCAGTCCAAACTCACCACCCATTCTGCAAGAGAAAGATGTGGCAGTCTGCTTCTATAAAGATTACAGTCTTAGAAACCGTATGAGGTAGTTCTAGTCAGTCCTACAGGGTCTCTATGAGTCAGAATTGACTCAATGGCAGTGGGTTATTGTGCTATTCAGTATATTTTTGGTACCTCCTACTTATTTTATAAGCACAATCCATAATCTGAGTAATATTTTTCCCTTTTTTTCCATTAGTTTATATACTAGTGTAAATATTTTTTCACTCCCTTTTGGCATATGTGGAGCAGGAGGAGAATAGAAAAGTTGTTGGATTTAGGTCCTGCCCTAAATCCAGTGATTTCATTATTTATTTTTTAACCATGGTAAAATATATATATATAACAAAAATTTTGCCATATTAACCATTTTTAAGTGTACAATTCGATGATATTGATTATATTCACTATGTTGTGCAACCATCACTACTGTTTTCAAGTTTTCATCACTCCAACAGAAACTCAAAACTCCTTAAGCAAGATTCCCCATTCTTACCTACCCCCAATCCCTGGTAATCAGTAATCAACTTTTGACTCCATGCATTTGCCTATTCTAGATATTTCATATAAGTGAGATTACACAATATTTGTCCTTTTGTCTCTGACTCACTTCACTCAGCATAATGTTTTCAAGGTTCATCCTTGCTGTAGCATATATCAGAACTTTATTTCTCTCTAGGGCTGAATAATATTCCATTGTATGTATTTAGTCATGTTTTTATGAATATGTATTTGATAATGAAAAATACCACATGCAAGTAAAATTTTGCTGAAGATCGTTCAAAAGTGGCTGCAGCAGTATAT